CCTTGTCTCACCGAAGGAAAAGAGATCCAAGCCTTCACATCTGAAGCTGGCCTCAAGACTGCATGGGCCCATGCCCACTCTGTGCTGCTCTCTGTTAAACCAGAGCACAGCTATGGCTCTCCTGCCCTCATTCTTCATTTGTCTCCTGTTTAAGTTCTGTGCTCTTCCTCACCCTCCTCCTCTCCCATTTTGTGCCACCTACATGCATGGCCACATTCCCACAAAACTGATCAACAGCGCATTCAACGAGAACAAGATCAAGCACTGTCCAACCCTGCTGGGCCCCTTTCTTCTCTTCACTCTCTTGTACTTGCAGAAAGCTAGACAACAACCAGAAAAAAATCAACACTGCTAACACTCTTCTAGCAAGATCTCTCCTGGACTTCACATTAATGCAGCAGTAAAAGGATTCCAAGTACAGCGATGGCATAATGAAGTATTTTATTTATTTTAAGCTATCATTCTATTTACTAACATAGTAAAACAAGTTACAGTGAAATTAAACATTAAAAAATTGTCCCAGTTTATTCATATTTTCTTTTCTCCTTTGCCCCCAACTTCCTTGTTTCCCTACTCTCAGATTTTAATGTTCCTTGACAAAAACAAGAATCAGATCTTCAATCTTGGTTTTGTTCCTTGCACCTCTTTGTTTTTTTGTTCTTTGGAAGCTCATTAAGAGGTTCTTCCTTGGCCCTTTGAGCTTTGTCAGTACAGAAAAATCACAATAGGATTCTTTTTAGCAGTACAGTTCAGCAGCTGCTGCACACTGTTTGTGGTATGTTATTGCCAAAATCAGATTTGTTCTTGTTTAATTTTGGAGGAGGGAAAGGTTGAAGTGAGAGAGAGGAAAGAGAAGGAAAAAGGCAGATATTCATAATATCACTTGCACTATTGTAACAGTGTTAGGAGGATAGGAAAAAGACTGTGTGGAAAGTCTTCTCACAGCCAGAGCGCTCCTTGTGCAGCAGGCTAAATCCCAAATTACCAGGCTGCCATCATGAGTTAAAACCTACCGGTCTGCAGGTACTTATACATTGGTAATCAAAAATAACCACTGGATTCAAGAAACAAATGCTTCTACCAGAAGAAGATGGGAATCAGAGCAAGAGGGAAAAAAATGCTGTAGGGGAGCAGCAGCAGCAAAAGCCTTTTCCTCCAACCAACTGACTCCACTCAGTTCTGCCTGGTAAACCACTCATATATTCTGTTTGCTTTCCAATATGCAAGACAGTGGCATAAGAAGAAACTTCCTATCAATCAGCTGTCTCTCAGGCCAAGGAGGCTCTGCCGACAGAGTTATGCCAGATCAAGAATGAGAGGGGACTGCAATCTCTCCAATACAACAAGCACAAGAGAACAAGTCAGATTTGCCCTTCTCGCTTTGTGATCTTTAAGCCAATCAGAATCAGTGAAACCCAAGAAACAGTCCATTTATTAATATAAAAAACTAGTGCTCTAGAAGGGCTTTCTAATAACACTTATTATCTTAAAGCATTCACTTTTCAGGAGCCTTCATAGAATACTCACATTTCTCAGCATAGGTAGAACCAACTGCTCAAATGAAACAAGGTCTACAGCATACTGCCCAACCCGATATTCATGTCTCGAAGTAGAAGAATTGGAACTGAATTTGAGAAAGAGATACACAAATCCTTCTAAGTAATGAGTTTAGTGAGAACTCACTGCAGTCATTTCAAGAAGCTTTAGAAGAACTTATCATGAGTCAAATCAACTTAATTCTTCTAAAAAATAAGAAAAGAAACTCTGTGAACCATGCATTAAGACATACCGCAGATAGTATATTTTCAGATAATAAATATGCCATAAGCTACCATCACAACTACGTAAGCTCAATTTTGAACAGCGTACGGAGGGATAACAGGATCTAAAAGCCAGCAGGTATATTTACACTGAAATCAAAATACAAGCCTGCAGTTCAGATCTTTGAATTCGGTAATGTGACACTACAGACAGCATCACAGCAGCAGCCCAAATCTCAGTATGGGCAGCAAATCCCTTAAAACAATCTTGTAAAAATGCTCAGTTTGCACATGCTGCATCACACTATCCTAAGTGGACCTCCTTTATTAGCAGTATGCAAATCATTTAGCCAGATCAACTACATCTGCATGAGGTGCTAACATCACATCTGGACCTAGGCTAAGTTTTGCACAAAGCACAAAAAGCTAAGTCTAGTGAATCAGGAGAGACTGTGAGTCCCTCTGCACCCTAAAGGCCCCCCTCTTAGCGGGGCTCTGAAATCTTCTTTTTCTTAAAATTCAGATGTGGGATTTGTGGACCAGTCAGTGGCTCTTTAAAATAATGTTATATGCAATTCCCCTTGTATTTTCCACTTCTGTCCCCATAAATTAGCTAGTGGAAACAAAAAAAAAACCCTTCCTCGCAGTCTACAATAAGCTACTGACTGTATTCCAAAGAGGCTTGGGCTCACAATAAAAGGCCTGGCAGTGCTTCCTCTCTAATCTGGTGTAAAACAGGCAGCAAGAGAGAACACCCTTCTCTAGCACATTTTCAGTATTTCAGTACGCAATACAGACAGCGCCTGCATACACAATACAGGCAGCAGCCAGGACACAAGAACTGAACAAAGAACCTGGCCATGCAAGCCCTGTGAGTGCTGGCCATCACCTTCTGGAGGAGCATTTAACATGCTGATAGACTGGAGCAGAAGTATAAAACAATAAGCCACTTATGGTTATTAAAACCTCAGTACCTGACTCTAGATAAAGGTCCTCGGTTTCCAGCCAAAGTGACAACATCAAATCCTGTTCTCCTGCCACCTTCTCTAACTTCCTCTGTGTAAAATCCATCAATAGGAATGCCCGAGGATTTTAGAGCCTGAGTGACTTTCTGGATCAAAGTAGTCTTTCCCACGCCTAAAAACGAAGAGAAAACAAAATGTACACAGGATTATTTTTCTTATACACTTAAAGTCCATTTTTAAACACCACAGTAATGATTCAATTCAGCAGAAGCATTCATCATTTTTTGTTTGCAAATTGTTGGGTTTTTTTTTAAATGCTGGGAAAGGAAAGCACAGCAGTACATTTTAAAGTTCATCCCATACTGACACTGTAACGCTTTATTAGCTTTTAAGAATTACGTCTACAGTGAAGTCACAACATCCCAGGCCATCACTAAAATTGTTAGCTTGGATAATGCGCGGGCAGGCCTCAAAGCTTGCCCCAAGTGGGGAAAATACACGAGAGTCATACTGTTACACAACTGATACCCTGGCTTGCTAGACTGACTGATGAATCTCTCTCTCTCTACCACTGCTATTCACTACTTTTTAAGAACAAAGCTGGGTTCACCCTCTTCTTGGATCACAAGGTCAAAATGACTGCTATTATCAGGAGCCTAACTGGCACAAAGGACACACTACTTCTACTGATGTCCTAGAAACAGGAAGTGCCCCCGAGATACAAGGTCCTATACGGCAAAAAGTATTTTCAACAACAGAAACACACTTCTTATGTTACTGTAATTGAAGCAAGAGAGGTTTTGACTAGAAGGAAAAGCTTTTTTACTGTGAGGACAATCAAGCGCTGGAACAGGCTGCCTAGAGAGGCTGTGCAGTCTTCACATCCTCTGAAGCTTTCAAGATCTGACTGGATAAAGCCTTGAGAAACTTGGTCTGGCCTCAAAGCTGAGCCCTCTTTACACCTCCTGAAGTCCCTTCTCACATGAATTACCTTATGGTCCTATAATCCATTCTCTTACTCTAAGACAGATCCTTAAAACCCTTGCCACCTGATATCTCCTAGCACAGTTTGATTTCCCTTCTACAATCTGAATGTTGGCCATGTTCCAGACATCATCTCTGTTCCCACAAAGAAGCTATTTCTTCTCCTTTGCCATTGTACAAGTACATCCCTTGACAAACACCTTTAAAACTCAACTTTATTGCTTCTCACAAAATTTAGTGTTATCACTTCATTTACTTATCACTGTCAAAAAAATCAAAGACAGAAAATGCCCTGCAAAATAAACCTTTAAATTCCTGGAGACAAGGAATATAAACAAAATGTGAGGTGCCTAAAGATGCCAACAGAAATAATTTAAACTTGCACATACCAAATTCCTCCCTTAGATTTTAAGCACATTTAGGAACTACTTCCCTAACAGTGAATATCAATGGCAAAATATTGTGTCGTTTCAAGGACACCTAGTCAAACTATTAAGCAAACTTTTCAAAACTGAAGCCAACGGGCTTCTTGGCATTTGAACAATACGACGACAAATGCGGCACCATCAATATCTACCATCTTTCCAAGGCCTTGTCTCTATAAGCAAATTTATACTAATTTGGCTAAGTAGATTTGCTATCTCTAATTTGGTTACCATCATTCAGTAAATTGCCAAAGAAAGCCAAAGTGATTCAAAAGAAGTTTAAGAAAGCTTAAAGTTATCTAATCATATCAGTACATTGAATTTAAGCTAAATGAACATAAACAAGGCCCAAGCAGGCCTAACCTCTGCAGCTGCCTTCATCCAAATGGATGAAAAACCAGAACAAAGTGGGTAGAAGGTATTGCTAGCTCAACCTAGCAGCGGCATTTTAAATTAATTCTAGATGAGACAAGTATCTGCAAAAGGTTCACAAAAATGAAAACTAGGCCCGTTGCTTTATTTCTAAACCACAAAAGAAAACTTTGCAATCGTAATGACTTAATTTGCTTAATCATAATTTGCTTATTAACTTTATAGTTCAACATTTATACAACATCCAACTCTACCTCGATAATAATGATTCTCCTACCATGATAAACTACTGCTTCAACGAAGGCCTGCCCATCTGGAATCCCAATTATTACCTATAACCAAACATTACTTGGGTTGAAAGTGCAAATCACTACAATTAAGATGAGCACTCAGAAGTTACTAATGGCTGCAGTTTAATTGAAGCAGGATTAATTGTTCAGGAGGGTTTTTTTCTCTTAACATTTAGCTGCAGGCCAGGAGCAAAGCACTAGCGTCTAGAAACATACGTGACGTGGGGCTGGATGGAGAGCCAAATCGGACTTTCATTAGGGACAAATTAATGAGCGCAGCAGCTCTGACCTCGGCAAGAGACACCCGGGGAGGGGCGCAGCTGCGGGCCCGCCGAGGTTATCTCGCAGGCAGCTGCAGGGCCCGACTACAGGAGCAGGTGCTCCCGGGGGGTCCCTCACACCCCAGGAGGTTGCTGGGGCCCACCAGCTGCTGCCTTCCC